AGAGCGAATTGCAGAGGTTATGAAGAACAAGGGTTTTGGCCATGACTGTATATTAAAAATTGTCCTGGCACTTCTAAGCTCTATCATTGTAGTGGGCGGGTGTTTCTTTTTAACAGTCCAAAACACGTTAAATAAGGCGAGCGAATCAGTAATAAAACGTACCTCACACGGCTCTGGGGGGGTGAATGAAGGCCTCCTGTAGCGAATCCATGCGTTTTTGTCAGAAAAAAAAAAAATCTATATTTCAAACGTAATAAACACTTTTCTATCACTTCCGCTATCTGTCATACGTGGAAGCCGTTCCGGCGGATGACATAGGACGTTGGCGTTGCGTGATTAGTGGCGAACGTAGAGAGAGAACAAAACAAAACGCCGGTCATGAATTAGAAGCACAAAATGAGGATTTGTAAAGAAATGTCGGAGGATTTCTATATAAGCCAAAAGAAGACGGGTTTTTCTTTGCTAAAGTAAGGAAACTTTGCTTCCTTAAACTCGTGAGACTAGCATATCTCAGAGGTGCACGCGCGACGCATACGTCCTACTTCACCAGCCGGAACGCTTCCGCATACGACAGTCAGCAGAAGTGAGAGAAAAGTGTTTATTACGTTTAAAATATAAATTCTAACAAAAACACATGGATTCGCTACAGGAGGCCTTCATTCACCCCCAGAGCCATGTGAGGCACGTTTTATTACAGATGCGCGCGCTATATTTAACGTGTTTTGGACTGTTAAAGAGAAACACCTGCCCACTACAATGATAGAGCTTAGAAGTGCAAGGACAATTTTTAATATAACTCAGACTGGATTCGTCTTAAAAAGAAGAAAGTCATATACACCTAGGATGGCTTGAGGGTGAGTAAAACACAGGCTAATTTTCATTTTTGGGTGAACTAACCCTTTAAGTGGGGGGTTATGGCACAGTCAGCAGCTGGTATGCCCTTGATAGCCAGTTCTTCCGAACTATTTATTTGCATTGGACTCCAACTCCCATCACCAACGGAGTAAAGTGAGGCTGAGCTCTAAGTCCTGTGTGTCTCTGGATCTTTGTTCAGAGAGTTGATCTCTGACGCTCCAGACTGAATCCATCCCATCAGTCACACACAACCAAACCGTTTCCAGCTCCTGAGAAACACAGAATCACAGAAAGGAGACTGTTTTAATGAATAAAAATAAACTGTTGGCAGACTGTATGAAAATTAAGAAAGGAAATTTAGATGTGACAAAATAGCTATTTAAAAATAGTTTCTATTTATAAAATAAGTTTGGTTGTATGTTAGTTTACCACTGCATATATAATCAGATCCTGAAGCAAAACCAGATGAAAACTGAGGTCGAAATTTGAATTGTAAGAATCAATTAATCAAACTGAATCTGACCCAGCAACTTGATATTTGCCACCACTGTCGTCAAAATTAATGAACTTAACAAAATAGCACATAGATTCTAAAAGTTTCTCACACTGTTTAGGTTTACACACTCAGCGGGGATAAATAAGAAACTTTTCCGTATTCGAGATTATAGGTGAAGCTACTATGACATCTTGGCAAGTGAGTGAAAGACTGCAGTGACAGTGAAATGAAACAGATGAACAGGAAGCTTTTCAAAGAACACTTCTATTCAGAAACAGAAGTTAACAATCAGACCTGATATTCACTCACAGGTAAGTGATGGAAATGAAAGAACTAGTTCAGTAGTTTAATAGAATGAAGCAGTATCAGAAAATGTAAAAAGTATGTCATTTATTTGGCTGTAAAGGAAGGTTTGATGTGTGCTGTTAAAGACTGCAGGAACAGGAAACAATTACTTGAACTGCAGACAGAATGAAACGTCCACTGATATCATAACTTCATTAAACAAAAATGACGCCTGGTGTTTACAGGTATTTAGTGGGTTATTTGTTTGAAATATTGCACTTACCGTTTTTTCTGTGTTTCTGTGTTGTCAAGATAGATAGATAGATTTAATTAATAATTAATGAGACACACCTGAACACAATGACAACTCAAATCAGAAACCATGACAACAACTCAGTCCAAACTAACCAAAACCGTGACAATAGTATTAAAATAATGTTGTAAAAACTTGTAACATTTGTGGCTTCTTGTGAAAGATATTTAGTTTATTTAGTTTCTTCTACCACCGAATAATATCCATTGCAGTGCCACAGAGCCGTCTGAAGCACCAGATCAGCAGTCTCAGACAGGAAGTTAGGGGCAGAGCTTCTAGCTGGGTGAGGTTTTAGTGGTTGAAAACAGGTTAAACATTCATCAACACTGCCTTAACTTCCTGACAGAAACTGCTGTCATGCATTGCTTTATGGCTACTTTGACTTAAACAGTGGTTCATAATTTTGAATCATTTTTAACATGCAACATCAATTTTTGCACACAAACTTAATTACTCAGTGCACATTAAATATATCAAATTTACTCTATTCAGCAATGTAGATGATATATTGTCATTACATATCTTTTCAGCATGGCATCCTCCAGTGGTCCACTAAATGAGGAGCTCCAGTGCTCCATCTGTCTGGATGTGTTCACTGATCCAGTCACCACTCCATGTGGACACAACTTCTGCAGAACCTGCCTGAACAAGTGCTGGACAAACACACAGACCTGCTAAGTGCACATTAAATATATCAAATGTACTCTATTCAGCAATGTAGATGATATATTGTCATTACATATCTTTTCAGCATGGCATCCTCCAGCGGTCCACTAAATGAGGAGCTCCAGTGCTCCATCTGTCTGGATGTGTTCACTGATCCAGTCACCGCTCCATGAGGACACAACTTCTGCAGAACCTGTCTGAACAAGTGCTGGCCAAGCACACAGACCTGCTTCTGTCCATTCTGTAAAGAAACATTCAGCAGAAGGCCTGACCTTCAGATTAATACAACCAGTGGCACCGTAATGGGGGGTAAGCAAACTCTACAGAGATCCCAAGTCAATATGATATTCGGGGGGCCCAGAAACCATAGCGGCGCCCCTGAATACAATGCTGAGAGTTTTGCGCAACACTTCAAGGAGAAGCTCAATCTAGGAAGACCTGAGGTGTTCTGTGACTTCTGTGATGAAAGAAAGCAGAAAGCCGTGAAGTCCTGCCTGACGTGTCAAAGCTCTTACTGTGAGACTCACCTGGAGCCTCATCACAGAGTCCCACGTCTAAAGAAACACACACTGATCAACGCTGTGGAAAATCTGGAGGATTATATATGCCAGAAACACGAGAGACCGCTGGAGCTGTTCTGCAGAGATGATCAGACGAGTGTGTGTCTGTTCTGCACTGAAGGAGACCACAGGACTAACAACACTGTTCCTATAGAGGAGGAGAGTCAGGAGAAGAAGGCAAGAGATACAAACAAAACACTTTAAATACTCATAAAATATAATTTTCTTTTCTCTGTGTTGACATGTTAAAGCACTTGTCCCTTTTTATGTTAAGGGTCGGTCACACTATGCTTTTCGTTCCACTGACTTCCATTCACACACATACGAATGCGGGAGAGCGGAAACTCAAGCTCCTGTGAAGTTGTTTTGCATTTCACTGCATTCCAAAGTTCAAGTCTGGTGAACTTTGGTGAATTTGTATCACATGAGACCATGTGACCAATAGAAGATCGATATGTCAAGGCATGTTCTCGTAGCCGAATTAAGAGAACATACATTTAAAACTGGAGTGCTGAAGAAAAGGATTTGGATTTTGGATTTGTTATTTGTATATATTTCATCTGGGTAGATTTCTTACAAGTTGCAGTCCAAAAATGATTACAGATTACATTATGAAATCTGTAGTTAGTAATGTAATCTAGATTACTCATTTTAGGTAATGTATTCTGACTACTTTTTAGATTACTTTTAGATTATTTTTGTATCTAACTTGTTTCAAACTTACCATTAATCATACTATATATAAAAAAGCAAAGAGAAAGAATTTATATATATATATATATTTATATTTCAACATCATAAAATGCATTAAACATTACATTAAACCAGGGTTTCCCAAACCGGGCTTAAAGGGATAGTTTACACAAAAATGAAAAATCATGTCATTAATTACTCACCCTCATGTCCTTTAAAACCCATAAGACCTTTGTTCATCTTTGGAACACAAATTAAGATATTTTTGATGAAATCCGAGAGCTTTCTGACCCTCCATAGACAGCAATGTAACTGAAATGTTCCCAGACCAGTGTCAACGAAGACGACGATGAAAACTATTTGTTAACGAACATTGTTTCTGTGACTAAGACGAGATGTTGACGAACTAAAACTAATATCTAATGATAAAAACTATGACGAAATTTATGTCGCGTCTTCGTTAACAAGACGAGACGGGACTAGAATGTTATTTGAGGACTATCGGACATTCAAAATACTTCCTATAGGCTAATGTGCATCCCTGTCATTGGATTGCAATCAGATTAGGGGTGTTCGCATATCTAGTCTCAGTATGGCAGCCGCAGTGGACGAATAGGCTACCAAAGCGCGAACTAGCGATCTGAAACAATGGCCTCAGCACCCAAAGGGTTATGGATAGGGTGACCAGACATCCCGTTTTTCCCCGGAGTCACAATTCGTTTGGTCAATTAACTTGGATAGGCGGAATTGTGCTGACAGAAGTGCTCTCTCTCGTGCACGCTCCACTTCTTCAGTTCTCACACAGCGCACGATCAGTTCTCAGTGCTCAAATACACACACAGCAGTCCAAATAAGTTGACAAAAATGCAATGACTTTTCGTGGACTAAAACTAGAATAAAACTATGAAAGACTCAAATAACTAAAATGTGACTATTAAGCATAAGCATTAGTCACCGTCTGCCGCCGTTATCGAGAGTACCATGACACATGCGTGTGCTGCTGCTGACATAAAACACTCAAGCACTGCGCCTTGTTTATGACCAGAAGAATGCACACACATGCGTCATGGTTTGAAATATTTATGTCCAGATTTCCAGAATCAACAGTTTTTGAAAATCATTGGATATGATGAAGACGTAGTGTTTCACAGCTACACACCCCATTGCTGTACTACCTAGAGGGAGAATAACAGAAATAGAGGAGGAGATGGAGAGGTGGAGGGATGCCGGAAGAATTGACACTGGGACGGTGCAATGAGAGCTGCTTATATAGGCTCTTAATGATGATTGACAGGACTGAATGATTAGGCTCCTCCTGAACCTACGTTTGGAACTTCATTTAAAAATTGACAGGAATACATAAAAATGGCGATTTGAATTGACCTATCGGTAAGCCCCACCCCCTTACTTACTGTTGCTCACTCGGTTGCTACTGTCTTACAATGACAGCTGTCAATGTGAAAACCTTGTCCCAAGATGTTTTTGATAAATTTTGGACACAGAAGGACCATCATTCAAGTGGGACTTAAATATGCCATGGAGGGATATATAAAATATTTCAAAATAAATATGTAAAAATACAGATCACAATGCAAACAGGAGAAGTCTCATGTTACTGTTCTTACGATTGCAATGACAACATTCCGGATCAACACTGTTCATGTACCGCAGGGTAAGATTAAATTAATTTACTGTAAGGGAAACAGGTCAATTTAGCTCAAAGGGAATCATTTATGATTTTATAGAGAATTTGGACAGAATCACTGTTTTACGGCTGATCACTAAGTCGGCCAGCGATTCATTAAACGAGCCATACAACATCAACTCTGCATGGATATTAATATCCAAAATATAGTGAGAACACTATTTATTAGCACAGTAACAAGATCGGCAGTTTAAGACATTAACTTGTAAGCACAAAACACAAGATACTTCTCTTTTCAATATTTTCTTCTCATCGTGGCTAAGTAGCAGCGGGCGTGCAGGCCAAAGCACGCTGGAACGGTGCTCAAAGAACGCAAAAAGTGATGGCAAAAAGCATGGCTAAAAGCACAAAGCAAAAGCGATGACTAAAAACATAATTTGATGGTGTCCTGAGTATTAAAACTCGGCTGTTGGACACATCCCAAATGGCATCTTGACCAATTAGAAATTGTCTTAGCTCAGGGTGTTGCTATTTTTCTCCATCCAATACATAAATCAACACGTTATCTTATCAGTCACATGGTCCACATTTTCCCACTCTTGCCGAGTATAATTTTGGACATGATTTCTATAACAAGAATATGATACATTTGACAAAGAGGTGCATATATACACGGAAAGGCAGTGTCTGTGCCATTCTGTTAAGTAAGAATGTGTTCTGTGAAGACCAAAGAGGTTAAAAGGTCTCATAAGGAATTTCAGTCTGGTTCTTGTCCTCTAGGTGGGGGGAAGTCAATCCAAAGAGCTCGTGATCGTCTGTTCTGTGAAAGAGTTGGTTGGTTAGGCTTGCTTCAGACTGGCGCTAGGATCTGATCTACGAACATCCTGTTGTCTTGGGCCTTTTGTGGAATTCGGTTCCTCGTGTTTCAACCATGTTCTTGATCGAATCTTAAAATTGTCTGACTCGCTCTAATACCCTACATTACATTTAACCAGTTAAAGGTGCACTAAGCGATTTTCCCAAACGATGTTGATATTTGAAAGCACCAAAACAAACACGCCCATACCCCAACAGGACCTCACTCTTATTGTATATGAGTTCTCTCCACCGCTGGAACGCTGCTCTGATATTTACGCGGGTCCTACTTCTTGCCTGATTGTAACCCTTTTTTTAATGTTTTCTATAATCGATCTGCTAATATCCGTCCTGTGCAGTCAAATTGAGCATTCTCTTTTCTTTATCATTACAAGACACGCCCCCTTACTGCTAATTGGCTACAAGTGTGCTTTGGGACTCGGTCCGATGCTGTGGTCAAAAGCATTTTTCAAAAATCGCTTAGTGCACCTTTAAATATGGAGAGGCACTGAAACGTATACCTTTGTTTATGTGTTTTTGACCTACACTGTACATGACGTGAGAACAGTTCGCTATTTAGGTTTGTACGTTAGCATTGACTCACTAACTTTAACGTTAGTTTTATCCAGAGATACCTTGCTGAAGCACAAGATGTCATTAACGTTCTGCTTGAGCAGATGAAAATTGTAACTTAATGAGAGTATGACAACCAGAAAATGACCGTTATATCTTCATTGGGATTAGAGTTGAATGCCTACAGACATTTTGCTCTGTTTTGTTTGGGTTCAGGAAATGGAATAAAATTAATTCTATTGCCTATCCTCTCAGGATACCTGGAATCTGTAGCATAAACACCATCAAACCGATGAAAGCTTCGGATCTTTCAATGTTTCTCTATGGCGCTGAAACCTAAAGATGTCTGAGTTCTGTTCCCTGTGCAACTGATACTCGACTGCCATTGGCTCATCTGCGTTTGAGGGGAGGTGCTTACTCATAGGTCAATTCAAACAGTCACGCGATCTCATTCCTAAATGACAGCGATGTCAAGTACGATCACAGCAAACATTCAGATTTGCATCTCTGAGCCAGAGAGCTGTTGTCATGTATAGGTACTATTAAACAGCTTCACAAACACAGTCTTTTCAGTCACACAGTATCATTATTTTTCTTACAATAATTCAAATTATAAGTACAATACAAATAAGTTTGTATTTCTGATATAAACACTAATGTCTACAATAGCGACCAAAATAGAGTTTTTGAAATTTTGAAACATTTTGAAAGTAACTTTAGCTTCTAAAAAAGGTTGTATCAATTATATCATTACATCAGTAGGTGACGACAAGTGACTGCTAAAAATATATGTCATGGAGTCATTCATTCAAGACATTCAAAAATTCCACGACATTCTAATTTATTGAGATGCACCTGTATATATGTCTGATCCAAGGATGGAGGTGCTTTTCAATTCTGTATTTGTGCATTTTGCAAAAGTAAAGTTTACTGAAGACATGCAGATACTTTTTTTTTTTTTACCTCATAGCTGAAGTATTCAGATTTTTGTTATATTTTAATATATAACTAATTTAGCAAGTTTTTTTTCAAATTTTTTTAAAATTTATTTAAAAAACTAATATATTCGAAATTTCTCCTTAATTTTTTCATTAGACTGAATGGGTAACAACAGGACGCTGCAATAATGGCAGGAGCTTTCTTTGCCAGCAGTTTTTAATTAAAGCAAGCATAACTTATATCTAAGTGACTACAGCCAATAACATATATTAGAATGCATAGTATTGTTGATTTAACATTAATTCATGTAAGGTTTTTAAGGTAAAATGTTTGTTTGACAGGCATTATCATCAGAAGTGGAATCAGCAGCAAGAGCTCTTATTGATGTGTTAGCCAGGGGCCTGGCTCCATCTTCATCAAGTGGCCTTACTCCTTTGCCTACTCTGTCAGAACCTGAAAATAGGGTGAGGCAGGCATTAAAAAGGTAATTTTATGTGTTGACCATTTTAATATTTAGCAATTATTAAAATATTTTAAAACATGGTAACCCTTTTAAACATCTAAAAATAGAACTTTTCTTGTTTTTTTTCTAACCTTCTGCTGAAATACTATTCATAAATTTGTCTTTTTGTCACTCTTACCGTAGGCAATTCACAAGTATGTTTGGGACTGAAAATGACCAGCCTAGGGGCAAAAAACGTTTCCCTGTGGCCAAACCTGGTAATGTGAAAAAGACAGATTTTCTAATTTATGTGCTCTCTGAACACACCCTGTTTGCTCCAAAAGGAGATGAAGACCTAAAACTTGTACATGCTGGGCTTGGGAAAAGGCTGTTAACTGTTCCAGACAGTTTTAAACACAGTGAGGTAATTGCAAACATTATCATAATGCAAGTAATTATATGATGCAAGTATTTTTTTTTCCATGACTTAAAAAATGAATAATGAATGTGGTGTTTTATGCTCGTTTAAGATTGTCACTCTGCTTGAGGAAGAATTTCCTAAATTAAAAACTCTTCAGGGGGGCTGGATGTTTTACAAGTCTACAGGTATTTATATTTTGCATGTCAAGTATAAATAAAACATGTAATAAAGTATTTAATTCTTTCTGATTTTATTGAAAAAAGGGTGTGGAAATTCTTGTGCTATCAGAAATGTCCTTCGCACATCTGAAGTCCTAATTACAAACTTGTCATTCAAGTGTTGCTTTGCTGATTCTGGAATTTCTGTCAAATACATTCTATTTTTGCTGTGCGTAAAGCATTCAGTACACATAAAATGACCTTTCATGTATGTAAATATGCATTACAAGGTGATGTAGCTATTGTGGAAAACCCAATAAAGAATAGCAGTCACAGCAGCGATTGTTCTCCCCTCTGCCATGATTTAAGTTTAAGGCCTGCTCAACTTGGGAACTTGCGCATCAAAATTATTACTGAGCTTCCCAGTGGTAAATACAACTTAAGAGATCATTCATGTCCAAATTTGAACTACTTAACTCATATTTACAACAATTCTGATAGCACATAAAGGCAGCATTAGTCCTGAGTTTGACTCTCCTCTGATTTTACTATTAGGTGGTGGTGAGCGGCGGCGAAAGCTGTCTATAATTCCCACAGACTCTGATGGATACTCAACTCGGCTCCTGAAATCGGTGTCGAATAATGGGAAGAACATGCTTTTTGTAGTTCCACTACAAGAGCAGCTTTCCATTGAACCATTACCCTTTGATTCTGTGGAGTTTTCAAAGATGCCACAGTCAAGCTGTATGAAATGTGGCAGGAAAATACCACTGCCATTGCTGCCCTTACACATTAAAGAGTGCAAAGTAACTGAGACTGTAGGTTTTAATTGGATTGCTTTTCTTTTCTTTTCTTTTTTTTTTAGATCATAATGCTTTCTTAATATTTCCATAGCCAATCCATCTCCATTATTTCATTAGGAGTCTGTAACTGATATGGCTGTTCTTGATGATGAAGATGAAAATGTTACCAGAGCCACTGACCAGCCAAGCTCACTTCACACAGATTTAGAACAATCATCACAGGTATTTTGATCAAAATGCATTCCTTGATAAATGCAGATATGTATATTTGTTTAGCAAAATGTGCGCCCAAAAATCTGTGGTTCCGTGCAAACTGTTGTGTGAGGCTATTCTGAAATTTGACGAGACTGATCTGAAACTTTTAACACCTTTAGCTAAGGTAGAAAATACATAGTATTCAACAAATGTATGTTGAAATAATTATTTATTAAGTCAACAAACTGATTTGCTTTTACTAGAAACTAAGGAGTAGCATATATGGTTTTCTTACATTTTATTTTTACAGATTTGTCCCATTTGCCAGATTTCTCTCCCAACTGATGTCTTACTTTATCATGCAAGCACGTGTGGTGAAGGGTAAAGTTATACTACAATATGTAGACTCTTACTTTAATACCTTAAATGATTAGTCCACCCAAAGTTGATATTTCTCTCATAGTTTACAGACATCTATTCTATAAATCCAGCAGTTACATTTAGAAGGCACGCTATTAATCCATATTGATCCAGTCACTCAAAGTCTTCTAAACCATATAACTATAAAATGTGTTGCTGGACAAAGAGGCAAATGATCCATATTGTTAAAGACTTTGTTTGTTAAAGGTATAAATTATGGATTTGTTTAAAACATCTTAAAATAAACTAAGATTAACAAAAGTCAAAAGCTCTGAGCTGGAATGGAGGTGAAAAAAAAACTGAGAAATATAATTTTTGGGTGGGCCATTTTTTTAAATTGTTTTATTCGTTCTATAAAAGACAATGTACAGGTTTCATAGACAGGGCTTAGATTAAGCCATGAGTATAGGCCTTTGTTGAATTAGGACATTTAAGTAACTTTTTTAAATGTTCCTTAGAAAAAACACATTACTGGTGTGAATCTTCAGACAAATCAATGGCACTGACATTTTTAGATATGTCAGTGAAAGTTGCATTCGGTTAAAATGGCTCAAACATGCATTTTAGTCTGGGACTAGGATTTAAACCTCGTCTGTGAAACCGGGCAAACATCTTTAGCTGTAAAGACTTTATTTTGTCTGTGTAGAATCAATGTTACTTTTTATTTTAATGTGCAAGAAAGTTTCTAAACTGGTTGGATAAACAAAACTGAAAAGTTGTATGTGCCATGCCTAATTTAGAGGGTGGACTTTCAGTGGCAGTGATTCTCCAAGCACTTCAAGAAGAGAAGAATTGCCAGGACCCTCAACTGCACAAACATTCACATCGCTATCAGCAGGTTATGCACGACACATTCTGCTTGGGTAGCGCTGTTGTACTGCTGTGAAACAAGTACATCTATATGCATCGATTCAAAAATGTTCTGTGTTGTGGCTTTGTTTTTAACCCTAGATTTGTCATACAACTATGCTTGTAAAACGCCCTTTGCATAAATTGTGAATTTCTTTTTCAGCATGGAAATATGAAATGGACCCACAGAAAGCATCTCGAATGTTCTGTGAGGAATTGCTCTCCCAAAATGAATACTGTCCATCTCTGTCACTACGCATCAACCAATTTGATACTGTGGATGAGCAGGACAGTACACTGATTTCATTTTACAAAATGAACAGTGCTAACTGGTCAGATCCATTGAGATGTAGCTTGATAGGTATTACTCGCTGTAAATATTAAAATCATTATTTGAAGAAAAACAGTGTACATGAGCTTGCTGTTCTTTTGTTTTTGCTTTGTTGATTTCTTTTTAGGAGATGCAGCTGTTGGCAAAGGAGTCAAACGTCATGTTTTGTCAATGGTGATGCAAAAACTGAAGACTGGCTTCACTTTAAATTTGGGTGTGTAATTGATTGCTGTTCTTTTCCACACACACATTATTTATATATTGATCACATTTTTACCTCATTCTGATGGTTGATGTAAACATCAACGGAAGCTCCTTCCCTGTTTCCTCCTCCTCTATTATTTTATGCACTGCACTTCTGAGTCATGATTGGCTGATTAGATGATGGATGATTGTTGGTGTCAGACAGATTGGTTTGAGTCCATCTCTCCATCTCAACCCAGCATTCTGTCTGTGAAGTAGACCTTTGAACTTAAAACAACAATAGATACTATTAGAACCTCGAATATGTAGAACCTGCAATATACAAGTCTGAGAAGACACTTGATAGTGCTAGTCTGCTTCTACAAACAATTTGAAAGTGAAAGTGAAGTGTGGCCAAGTATGGTGACCCATACATGGTGAAACATACATTTAACCCATCCAAGTGCACACACACAGCAGTGAACACACACCGGAGCAGTGGGCAGCCATATGCTGCAGCACCTGGGGAGCAGTTGGGGGTTCAGTGCCTTGCTCAAGGTCTCACCTCAGTCGTGGTATTAAGGGTGGAGAGAGCACTGGTTATTCACTCCCCACCCACTGACAATTCCTGCCGGACCTGAGACTCTTGTAACCTTCAGGTTACAAGTCCGACTCTCTATCCATTAGGCCACGACTGCCCCCAAATTTCAGTGTGATTTGGGCCACTCCTTTACAGACACATATATAACTGTTTTGCATCTTAAGAAGCTACGGTGATCATGCATCTTATGAATGTATTTTGAGATAATCTTTCAATAGTGTAATTGAGATAACAACTGTGACGTCCTATGTTCTCCCCTCAGAAAAAAGACACCATAAAAGCAACTGAAACTGCTCCTTTCCTTCTCTTACTCAGATTTGATTAGTCCAGTGGTGGAATTAGTTCAGTAAAAAGTATGCCAAATGCAGATAATGTTATGGCTTTTAAACAACTACTACTATTAAAGATGATTGTCTTACAGTTCATATTTTTCTTAAGGTTCTTCTACCACAGCCCTTTTTGAGGGGGAAAAAAACCACCGTGTCCCTTCTGCATCTGCTGTACTACGGGACAGCAACTTGTTCCAAATGGCTGGCCGAATGATAGGTCATTCTTTTTTACATGGAGGTCCTTGTCTTTCTGGACTGAGTTTACCTGTGGTCATCCTTCTAACTGGAGGGAATGCTGACAGCGCGGCTTCAGCTCTGACACTGCAGGATTGCCCAGACCTAGACCACAGGGAAACCATTAGTTTGGTGAGTACTTGCAATGCAATAAAGTACTTCAGTACAAGATTTTTTTTTTCTTTTTGTATAAAGATGTCACTGAATCATTGTAATACTTCTCACATTTTCAATTTGTTCTTGCAGCTCAAGAAAACACAACTCACTGAAGAAGAAATGACTCGATTGACAAATCTTTGCCTTTTCTGGGATCTCCCTGTTCCATCGTTGCGTAATCGAGACTGGCTGTTTCAACAGCTGTTGTCACATGCTGTAAGTTTTGCTGTTTTGTTTTATAATAATATTGTGACCGGAGTCATTGAAAAAGATTCAGTCTCTATTTACCTAATCAAAATCTTCTAGTAACGTGCTGAAAAAAAACATGCATGTGTTAGTACAGTACTAAATCATGCTAGTAACACCGTAGCATCCACATAGAATATCCGAGAATCACCTGCTTTGCAAAACACCCTAGCACCTGTCTTTCTATCTAACTGTCTGTCTGTGAATCCTTGTAAATTAATCTTTTGTGTGTGTGTGTGTGTGTGTATATAATACTTTTTTTTTTTTTTTTCAAGCCAACCTCAGAGTTTGTCTTTGTTTTCAGGTACTTGGACGTGTTAAGTGCCAGATTAAAGATTTGAGAAAAGGCATCAAAGACACCGGCATCTGGCCACTTCTCTCCCAGAGACTAGACAGTCACCACATTGTTTTCCCAAGGGAGTCAGTTCAGGACATTACATCACAGGTAAGTATACTTGTATTTGGAATCTGGTATTCTCTGGTATTAATACTGGTATTGTTTGGTATATTTGGAAATTTGGTATTTTGTTTTGCATTCATAAAAAAAAAAAAACATTCAATCTTCTGTATAACTGATTATTTCATTATAGATGACACAAATTGTCATTTTGGGGTAGTCGATATAATTCCAAACTTGCACTATTAAAGGGTTCATGAATTGCATATTAAAATTTAAAATTTGCATTCATGTTTTGACATATAAGAAAACTTTTTAAAAAATTCAGAGTTCAAAACTCTTTATTGAAGCCCTGCTGCTGAAACTACTCATTGCCTACTTTCTTGGATTTGTGATGTCAAGTAGTTGAATACATCAGTACAAGAATGAATCCACAGTGGCTTTCAAATGGTTACACCTGAGCCCCACTCAGCTGGCACAAGTTATTATGCAAAAATGCCAGCTATTCAGAACACAGAAGCCTTAAAAGAGGTGTGCCCCCCAAACGTGATGTTTCAAATAGAGGTTGAAAATCAGGATAGAAAATGGCTGTGTATTTCTAAATTATGACTGTTTTTTTAATTAAAAAATTACCAACATTATAAGCAGACCTTGTCTTATGAAGAAAATAAATAAATAAATATGGCAAGTTCATGGCCTCATTAGCATTCTTATTCAAACCCCATAGGGAATTCTTCAGAAAATTGTATGGCCTAAACCTGTGGACAATATGGATTATGAGGACAATGATGACTCCATTACTGTTGAAAAAATGTGTGTCATCACAGGCTATATGCGAAGATTTATTGAAGAAGGTATGGGTTTATTTATGCTACTTGCATTGCAAATGGTCTTTCAGTTAAAAATGGAAAAGGTCTCTGCCGTTTAATAACAATTATATAAGAAATCAACTAGAACAAATGTTTATAATTTTTTCCTACTTTATTTACTCTTTCATAGCATCACCAACCATGCTGAATCACCTAATGAAGTTCTGGGTGGGATGGGAGTTGCCAGAAGAAAACCTGGAGTTAGAGTTGGTGACTGCCAAGTTCCCTGTTGCATACACATGTTTCAAAACATTGCGCCTTCCCTGTCACTACAAGAGCTACGCTGCATTCAGAGTAGATATGTTAATGTGCCTGAACTCTGTAAATAGTGGATTTGGCCTCATTTAACTAGAAAGAGATGGGAAAAATAAAAAAAACAGAGGGCAGTGTGCTAGATGAACTGAGTTGCCTCTTTAAAAGAGGATATAGTATTGGTTCCAATTTGAGTTCTAAAAAGACAAGAGGCTAATTAATCGCTTACAACTAGGGCTGGTAAGCGATTAAAATTTTTAATCTAATTAATTAAATGATGTGGCGATTAATTACTCGAAGTAATCGCACATCAAATTTGGCTGAGAAATTACTCTCAAAATATAATTTAAAGCAGTGGTGTAGTCTAGTTTTTTTTTTTTTTCCATCCAGCCTCATACACACCTGTCCTAGAGCGACACCCCATAAACACAACCACACTCACTAATGCATACAGTTTGCATGAGAGCATTCTGAAAGACTGCTTGTGTGATATCAACATGTCAATTTTTTAATTTTTAAAAACATCTTTAAATTTCAAAGATGCTGAAACTGTTGTTCATGCGTTTATTACGTCGTGTCTGGATTACTGTAACTCTTTGTTTTATTGCCTATACCCAACAAAGTCCTTAATCGCTTGCAGCTGTATGGATGGATTTTACCAAAACTGAATTCAAGATTCCTATCCGGTAATAAAACAATACAATTCACTAATCTGAAGAGAAGATCTACAGGAAAGAGCACATGATAACAGCTGGCCCAATCTCATCTCCTCCCCCCATGCTGAGTTCCTGACTCCTCAGTCATGCAAATTTCACAAATCTATTGTTTCAAGCTGTTTTATGTGTGGTCAATACCGTATTGACCCGAATATAAGACGATGTTTTTTTCTTGGAAATACATCTGAAAAAACGCGGTCGTCTTATATTCAGGGTCTAGACTTTGACATGTCAATAATACACCCACAACAATAGGTGGCGCCAAATACGCGTACAACGAGTGTGCCATGAAATATGTCATGTAATGCGTGTTGTAAAGATCGTGAGTAAAAACAAAAGAAAAAGAAAACCTTACAGCTGCATGAGCCGTGACTGTCACGTTAGCCTGGTGGCACCAAACTCCCTTTGTGATTTTAAAACGTAAGACAGTACCCAGATTTGAAGACTACAGTAAGATTTAACTTCTACTGTTAATAAGATTTTGGTAGGCTACTATTAGATGGATAGCCTAAATGTCCTAATTCAGATGGGCTACCTATTTTTTTTTTGTTTTTTTTAATGGTATATCAAAAAGTGTATATTTTTTAAATGTGATTGTTGGTACATTTTACCAGTTTTTACCATACTTTCAAAACAAAAATTAAAATAGGAAAAATATGCAACATGAAAATAATTGAAGACAAAATGTGTTACTGAGAAAAGACAAGATTTGGTTTTTAAAAAGCCTTTTTCCAAAAGGTACATCTGGAAAAAGGGGGGGTCGTCTTATAATCAGGGTCATCTTATATTCGGGCCAATACGGTACTATTTATTTTTAACTATAATAATCAACACTCAAATTACAAATTTGTATGCAAACATGTACATTGGACATATTGTAGTTTTTAAATTAACTTCTAAATTACAAAATTTCAATTTGTTGTTGTAATATAATCATTTACAGAGTGGCTGTCATAACTTGTTTCATAAAAGATTTATTTAAACATACAATAAATAATTAAGACATCACTAACAGGTAAAGGAAAATATAATGAAGTATACTTTGTCGTGTCGCGTCGCGCCGCATCCAGTGTAGACAGCATCACCAATTATAATGGGTTCTATTGTATTTTGTTGCGCCACTCGCGTCCGGTATAGACACCCAGTTAGGAAATGTGATGTGACCGATGTGATAAGCATGAGTTCTGGGCCGCGGCGTGGCCGGTATAAACACCAGCATTTGCCAAGTTTCCATCCAGTTTTGTTATCGAAAAAGAGAATGTGTAAAAAAAAAAAAAACATTGCGAAATTTGCTGTCTACAGCCTGTTTCCACCCAACTGGCCTTTTTCCGATAAAATGGTGTGTGTGATGACGTCATCCCTAAAAAAACTTGTCGCATAAGTTTTGGTGTATCGCAAAAAAATTGCCCCTTGAGCTTACTGAGAAAAAAGAAGATTTGTTTTTTAAAAAACCTTTTACCAAAAGGTACATCTGGAAAAAGGGGGGTCGTCTTATAATCAGGGTCGTCTTATATTCGGGCCAATATGGTATAAATACTTCAGGTGCAACTGGTAAGGTGGTTTAACTCTTGCATCAACAGAACAGTCAAGAATAAAGAAAACAAAACCTGTTCTTCTGATGTGGGAGATGCCCCAATAAAGATCTTTGATAACCATTTGCTTTCATCCCTAAAACTAGGTGGGTGACCTTTTGGGCATGATAAAAGGACAAACAAAAGTTGCATAAATATTTGGGTGCTAAATGTTTATAGTCCTTTTGTTAGAGGTCAATACCGTATTGACCCGAATATAAGACGATGTTTTTTTCTTGGAAATACATCTGAAAAAACGCGGTCGTCTTATATTCAGGGTCTAGACTTTGACATGTCAATAATACACCCACAACAATAGGTGGCGCCAAATACGCGTACAACGAGTGTGCCATGAAATATGTCATGTAATGCGTGTTGTAAAGATCGTGAGTAAAAACAAAAGAAAAAGGTATTTAAAGGGATTTGGCAAACCACTCAAGGAAGCATCTGTATCCAGAACTTCCCACACAGTTGCTGTGTGTCTCTATTGCCAGGTATGCTGACATCTTGAAACGATTTTTTTAATACTATATTTTGAACTGTATTTTATATTTTATGCTAATCAGTTGTGTACCATGTATTCTTTTTAATTATTTTAATTGATGTTTAATCCTGCCTGGCAAACAATAAATGTTATTCTTGATTTATTCTGCATTATTCTTAAATCATTATTTCTAGTAAATTAAAGTGGAGTTTGGTATTACCGCAAATCTGTGTTCAGGATCGATCATACAGAAGGCTCAATGAATGGAGCATAGGGCACATAATTTGAGACCTTTTCGATTTCTGACTATCACTGCCTTAGGAAGTTGCAGTTTTCGTGAACATAAAAAACTGCTTTTTGTTATGAGCAAGCAGAGTTTAAAGGTAGATATTCACCCTGCATCCTCTGTCTAAGATCAGAACTGACGAGTTTGTGTCCGTGAGGCTACGACCGGCCGGCGTAAGTTCTCTGTGCGATACCGGGTCCCTAATGAACGAATAACTGAAAATATGGGATACTCAGAATAATAAAAGATCTAAATTAAATCACAACTAATCTCATGATCAGCTGTTATATCGGAAACATTGTAAAATTAGAAGTAATTTATAATTGGAGTCAGAATAAAATTAGAAACCAACATTTTATTAAATTAGGATGATTTTTGCAGAAGCGCCAAAAGACGTACACGCAGAATACCTTTAACCAGATCATTGGATTCCATCATTGGGCCAGTGTGGACCTTACAAAGTGAAACCACCCTTACACAGCTTATCCAAAATTCAGCTACTCGCGTTCTTACATTTACCAAAAAATCTGCCCACATCACTCCGGTTTTACAGCAATTACATTGGCTCCCTGTCAGCTATCGTATTCAGTTTAAGATTCTTGTTTTAGTTTTCAAGGCCCGTCATGGTTTAGCACCTTCTTACCTTTCTGAATGAATTCTCCCCTATGTCCCTGCCCGTACTTTGAGATTGTAGTAATTTGGAAAATGTGATGTTCCAAAGGAATTATTATTTTTGTTTTGATTCAAGACTGAGTAAACCAACTAAATGTTTATTTAGTGGTTAATGTTCCTATGCTCATGTAAATTTAAAAAGAAGGTTTTTGCATTACGTACAAAAAAATATACCCGTATGCACCAACGGTCTTGTGCAGGAAACAAAATAAAGCTTGCTGTGTTATCTGAATCAGCTCTGATGTCTCCAGCTTGATTGTTGATACGAGGGACAAGTTATCACATAATGGCGACGAGGATTAAAGTTTTGGAGTTACTTCGCGGAGTTTTTGAAGAAACTATGTTTTTTCTTAGTTTTTTTATCACACCATCATCCGAGATGAAACAGTAATGGCACTCGCGGTAGGAACAATTACTCCATTTGACAGTAAGACCCAGTCTTGGGAGGAATATTGCGAGGTATTATCTCTTTTTTTTAAGCAAATGAGATTGAGGATGCTGCGAAGAAACAGGCTATTTTGCTTAGTTCTGTGGGGAGTTCGGCATATAGTCTTATGAGAAATGTGCTTAGCCCCGACAAACCAGGTGATATAAGCTTCAACGAGTTAGTGGAACTGTTGAAAAATCACTATAACCCCAAACCAAGTGAGATTGTGCAGCGTTTTAAGATTAATTCGCGGAATAGAGAACCAAATGTTTCAAAATAAGGCGTCCACGGACGTGCACGCTAAACCGTCAATGCAGACGGTGCTCAAGTTGGAAGCAAGGAACAAATGGACGCATAAAGAACCACGCCCTAACTGCTACAGATGCAGGGGTGATCACAAACAGCATGAGTGCCGTTTTCTACAAGAGCAGTGCCACAAATGTGGTAAGAAAGAGCATATTAGAAAAATGTGTAGAGTCTACCAGGTCTAAGCCTAAGGGGGGAGGGGGGAGGGGGGAAATACAAGCAACAGCAGTCCAGCACACTCAAATATAGATCAGGTCATCACATTAGTGACCCGGTGGAAGCCACTGCCAGTGACAGGCAAGAAGTTTTCACTTTGTACAGTGTGGTAGAAACTCAAATTCCAAGAGTGTCTCCAATCACCATGCTTTTAAAAGTGAATGACACAGAGGTAAATTTTAAAGTGGACATGGGCTGCAGTGTCACTATTATGTAGAATTCAGAATATGCCAAGTTAGGGAGTGTGGGCAAGGTCCCGGAGCTGAAAGATTGTTCTCTTAACCTAAAAACGTATACGGGTGAGTCAGTAAAAATACTAGGGGCCACAGATGTGATCGTTCGGCATTGAAATCAAGTTAAAGAACTTCCTTTGGTGGTGGTGGTGTCTACAGAAGGACCGAACCTTCTGGGCCGGGGATGGATTAAAGAGATAGACATTTGCTGGAGGGTGATAAATCAAGTAAACACAGAAACCATGACACTTCAGGAGGTGTTGACCAAGCATTAAACTGTGTTTAAAGAGGCCTTAGGGACATGGACAGGTCCCCCAGCGAAAATGCATGTTGACAAGGATGCAGTGCCAAGGTACTATAAGCCCAGGCCGGTACCTTATGCTCTAAAAAAAAAAGTGGAAGTGGAGTTAGAGAGGTTGCTCAAGGACAACATTTTGGAGCCTGTCAAATTTTCAGAGTGGGCGGCACCAATTGAACCCGTCCTTAAACCAGATAATTCAGTGAGGATTTGTGGTTATTACAAGCTTACCGTTAATCAGGCATCCAAGCTAGAGCAGTATCCAATTCCCAAACTCGAGGACCTGTTGGAAAAGTTAGCAGGGGGTGAAAAATACAGTAAGCTGGCTCTCAGTCATGCATATCAGCAAGTGATCTTGGATGAGGAGTCTAAAAGATATGTAACACTGAACACTCACAAGGGCTTATTTACAGTAAATAGACTGCCGTTTGGTGTGGCTTCCAGTCCTGCCATTTTTCAACGAATCATGGAGGGGTTACTACAGGTATCCCTGGGGTCGCGATATACCTCGATGACATTCTCATAACGGGCAAGGATGAGAATGAACATCTGCACACACTGAGTGAGGTTTAGAAGCGGCTGAAGGAGGGTGGTCTGAGGCTAAAAAGGGAAAAGTGTGCATTCATGCAGCAAGAGGCGGAGTTTTTGGGCCATAGAGTGGACTCTACAGGTCTGCGTCCACTTTCGAACAAGGTGGAGGCTCTGCAAAAAGCACCAGCTCCCCGAAATGTCACCAATTTAAAAGCATATCTGGGATTGCTTAAAGTGTCCTGAAACCCCAGACTACTTTTTCTGAGATTTTAGCAGAGGTGTTTGTGCTGCACATCATAGAAGACAATGTTAACATCCGATAATTTTAACTGTTGGAGAAAACTGGTTAATTTTAAGCTTTTTTGCACTATTTTCATCTTTCGGGTTTATTGTGTTGACATCACAATTTGTGACATGGCAATGGACTAATAGTACATCAATGACGCGTCGGTGTCTATTAAATTATTCATGAGACTG